CGTTGTCTTCGTCGTCGTCGTCGGCGTCGTCGTCGTCGGCGTCGTCGTCGTCGTCATCGTCGTCGTCGGCGTCGCCGTCCTTACTCCTTCTTCGTCGTTCGCGTCGTCGCCGTCCTCCCTCCTCCCGCGTCGTTGTCGTCGTTGTCGCCGTCGTCGTCCTCCCTCCTCCCTCGTCGTTGTCTTCGTTGGCGACGTCGTCGTCGTCTTCGTCGTCGTCGGCGTCGGCGTCGTTGTGGTTTTCGTCGTCGTCGACGTCGGCGTCGTCGTCGTCGCCGCCGTCGTCGTCGTCGTCGTCGTCGTCGGCGGCGTTGACGTCGTCGTCGTCGGTGTCGTCGTTATCGTCGTCGTCGACGTCGTCATCGTCGTCGTCGTTGTCATCGTCGTCGTCGTCGGCGTCGGTGTCGTCGTCGTCGTCGTCGGTGTCGTCGTCGTCGTCGTCGTCGTTGTCGGCGTCGTCGAAGTCGTTGGAGACGTCGTCGGTGTCGTCGTAGTCGTTGTCGGCGGCGTCGCCATCGTCGTTGTCGCTGTCGTCGTCGGCGTCGCTGTTGTTGCCAAGTGCCATGTGGTACCCACCGTCACGGTCTGAAGAGATTTTGCAAACCAAGTTGCGGGTGGGTGGGTGGGATGTTTGCGCGAGCAGTGGAGTGGACAACTCACTGCGAACAGAAATTAATTGCACCGCATAGATTGCACCGCATTGGTTGCATTACATCGATTGCATCGCATACATCCTCCTTTCTAAAAAGAATAAACTCTACCCCCCCCCGGCGTTATCGCCACCACTTTCGGGCATGTAAATCACATATGATTCTGACCGCATGTCCATCCTAAATGTGAAATCACAATGTCCCAGCCCAATCGGTATCCCCCCCTGAGGTTCCCTTGTAAAAAAACAACTCTGCAGTGACATGTTTGTTCTAACATAACACTTTTTCGCAAACCCCTTACAAAAATGTGACGAAGTGCACACGCGCGCGTCGTCGCGCGCGACTGCCGAAATCCTTCAAAAAAACCTTCGGTGCGGGAAGGATTTCGCAATGGAGTTCTCCAAAAAAACATACAAAAACACAGGGTTTCGCAAAACTGATGTGCTAAAAAAGCTTACGCGCGAGCTCTTGCGAAATCTTAAGACAACCATTGGTTTCCCAAGGTTTTCACAAGCGCGCGCATGTCGAAATCTGTCGAACGACCTTGCGCGTGTGCCGTCGCGAGAATCCTCTGCAAAAAAACGGGACGAAGTGCAGACGCGCGCGTCGTCGCGCGCGTAAGCGGAAAACTTTCAAAACCCAGCGGTTTCGGAAAGATTTCAAAATCGTGTGTCGAAAAAACATACAAAAACACAAGGTTTCGCAACACGGATTTTCAACAAAAGCGTGCGCGCGCGCTCTTGCGTCGTCGTCGTCGTGGCCGTCCTCCCCCCTCCCGCGTCATCGTCGTCGTCGCCTACGTCGTCCTCTGTCCTTCCTCGTGTTCGTCGTCGTCGTCCTCTTTGGCGTCGTGGTCGTTTCCGTCGTCGTTGTCGATGTGGTCGTCCTTCCTCCTCCTCCCTCGTCGCCGTCGTCGTCCGTCGTCGGCGTCTCGTCGTCGTCCCTCCTATTTCGTCGCCGTCGTCGTCGTGGTCGTCGTCGTTGTCGTCGTCGTCGTCTTCCCTCCTCCCTCGCCGTTGTCGTCTTCGTCCCCGCCGTCCTTCCTCCTTCTTCGTCGTTGTCGGCGTCGTCGCCGTCCTCCCTCCTCCCTCGTCGTTGTCGTCGTTGTCGCCGTCATCATCCTACCTCCTCCTTCGTCGTCGTCTTCGTTGGCGACGTCGTTGTCGTCGTCGTCGTTGTCTTCGTCGTCGTCGTCGGCGTCGTCGTCGTCGGCGTCGTCGTCGTCATCGTCGTCGTCGTCGGCGTCGCCTTCGTCGTCGGTGTCGTCGTCGTCGTCGTTGTCGTCGTCGAAGTCGTTGGAGACGTCGTCGGCGTCGTCGTAGTCGGTGTCGGCGGCGCCGTCGTCGTTGTCGCTGTCGTCGTCGGCGTCGGTGTCGTGGCCAAGTGCCATGTGGTACCTATCGTCACGGTCTTGTCTTAAGAGGTCTTGCGACCAAGTTGCGGGTGGGAGGGTGGGATGTTTGCACGAGCAGTGGAGAGGACAGCTTCAAGACGGTCAAAGTGGATTGCACCACATAGATTGCACCGCACAGACTGTAAGAACCTACTATTTGGGGTCCACGCTGGCTAACATGTTGCTCTCGCCTGACCGCCGCGCACATTCGTCTTCATAAATTTGCAGCGGTTTCATTCAACGGAAAAACGTGTACCAATTGCAAGGATCCGTGGGGTCAAATATTCTGGCACGATTTAGATTGCCAGGACACAACAGTCACGCTGATTCGTTGTGATAAATCCCAGGAATGGTGTCCTGGCATGCTTTAGGACTGTCGAGGCGCACCAGCCACGTTGATTCGCGGCGCTGAAGCCCCAAGAACGATGGTTTGGCACGATTCAAAATTATCAGATGGCTGTGTTTCAACCCGGCACCTCCCACAATGAAGAAATATGATCGGGACATGTGAAGAGGGAACTTGGAGGAAGGGGGTATTGCAACATCGTTGAAGCGTCTTGGGTTTGCACTGACTGTCCTTCTCCTCCTCCTCCTCCTCCTCCTCCTCCTCCTGCCCACCCTCTCCTCCTCGTCCTCCTCCTTCCCCCTTCTAATCCTCATATCCTCATGCTGCTCCGCCTCCTCCTCCTCCTCCTCCTCCTCCTCCTCCTCCTCCTCATGGTCCTGCTCCTTCTCCTCTTCCTCCTCCTCCTCCTGCACCTGCTCATTATCCTCCTCCCCCTTCTCCTCCCATTCCTGCTCATCCTCGTCCTCCTCCGCCTCGTCCTTCTCCATCCCGTTTCGACTGCCCCTCCTGATCCCTTTTCCTCCTCCACATTCTCCTCATCATCATCACCACCACCACCACCGCCGCAACCGCCGTCGTCGACGTCGACGTCGACGTCGTCATCGACATCGTCATCGTCATCATCATCGCCATCATCATCATCATCATCATCATCATCATCATCATCATCATCATCATCATCATCAGCAGCAGCATCCGAATCATCATCAGCAGCATCAGCATCATCATCATCATCATCATCGTCATCATCATCATCGTCCTCATCGTCACCATCATCAGCATCATCATCATCAGCAGCAGCAGCATCAGTATCATCATCATCATCAACATCATCATCGTCATCGTAATCACCATCACCATCAACATCACCACCAACATCAACATCACAATCACCACCACCACCACCATCACCACCACCACAGCCACCACCACAGCCGTCGCTTCAGCAGCATCATCATCAGCATCATCCTCATCATCATCAAGTTCAGCAATATCAGCAGCATCATCATTATTAACAGCATCAGCATGATCATCATCATCATCATCATGATCATCAGATCATCAGCAACATCAGCGTCGTCGTCATCGGCACCATGGGCAGCATCATCATCAGCGTCATCATCATCACCATCATCATCAGCAGCAGCAGCAACGCAGCAGCAACGCAGCAGCAGCAGCATCACCATCATCATCAGCTGCATCGTCACCATCATCATCGTCACCATCATCATCCTCAGCATCATCATCATCATCATCATCATCATCATCATCATCATCATCATCATCATCATCATCATGATCATCATCATCACCATCGTCATCATCATCAGCACCATCAGCATCAGCAGCATCAGCATCACCTTGATCATCATCATCATCCTCATCAGCATCGTCGTCGTCGTCATCACCATCACCACCATCATCATCATAATCACCATCAGCATCATTATCAGCATCATCATCATAAGCAGCAGCAGCCGCAGCATCAACAGCATCAGCACCATCATCAGCATCATCATCCTCATCATGATCAGCAGCATCAGCATTATCATCAGCATCATCATGATTGGCATCATCGCCAGCGCCACCACTATTATCATCATTACCATCGCCACCACAACCTCTTCCTCCTCCTTGTCATCATCAGCATCAGCAGCAGCATCTACTGACGCATCATCATCAGCAGCGTTAGAATGAGCATCATCATCGTCATCGTCAGCACCATCAGCAGCCTTATCATCATTGTCATTATCATCGCCGGCAGCATGGTCATACTCATCATCAACATCATCATCACCATCATCATCGTCATCATCATTATCATCAAAATCATTATTATCATCCTCATCATCACCACCACCATCATCATCAGCAGCATCATCATGCTCATCATGATCCTCATCCTCATCCCTCTCCTGCTCCCTCTGTTGTGCTGCTCCTCTTCTTGTGATCGACAGAATTACGATTATCATGCAGCGCGGCGCTCCAACCTCATCCATTATCGCGCCTGCCTGCACTAGTGGCGTGTTAGACATGCCTAGGAGCTTGCTGGAAACTAGGTTGGCGCGTTAGACTGCCTATGACCTGTCTGAAAGGGTTCCTATAGCTCTAACGAAGGGGCCCCCTCCTCCTCTCGTCACCCTCAGTTGGGCACACCCACACCCACAACCCGGTCCGCTGGTTCTCTGTGATGCCCTGATTACTGCGACGTCTTGCTGTTGTCCTGGTGCTCTATGGGCGGCGCCCGATGCTTTGTGCCCCATGGGGCCTTGATGGTTGCAACTTCCCGTTCTTGCCCTGGTGTCCTACGGGCGGTGGTAAAGGGCCGGAGCCTTAGGATGCGGTAATTGTTGCGCTTTCTCGTTGCCCTGGGAGTGGTGCCTCATGGCTGCTGCCCAAAATTGCATCCCATGAGTTGTATGCTCTAGATCGCACCACTTGTTGCACCGCAGGTACTGCTGCATCATACGGCTTGCACATCGGAATCACAAGAACCTTGTGTTAGGAGTCCAAGCTGGCGAACGTTTGAAGCAGTGGCCACCGAGGAGCGAGGCGCCGAAAAGACAGGACCGAAGGGTGGCACATAGGGCGCGAAGTCTTCCCGGCCACGCGCCTTCGGCAGCTTGCCCTCCGCCCTCACCTGCAGCTCCGCGAGGTCCAGGTGGAACAGGCGCGTGCCTCCGGGGCGGCCAGGGCCAATGGCTCGGGCTCTGCCAGAGGTGGCCCTGGTTCAAGTGCGCAGAAGGCACCTATACACCACCACCACCACCACCACCATGTCTGGTCAGGGCCGTGTATAGCCCTGGCCTGGCCTGGCTGGCTGCGTCGTCGGCGAAAAAAGGTGCCCCAGGCTTTTCCAAGACGGCCCCGATGGAAGTCGGCTACCCGTAGGAGCGTCCCTAGGCAAGGATGACCTTTGGTACTCGGCTTCAGGGTGTCGCAGAGGGGCGGAAACCCAGGCGTGCAAGCCACTGCTGGGTGGACACCTGAAGGCCCGCACTCCTGAGAGGGGTCCCTCTCGCGTGTAGCCGAAGCAGCAGGGGGAGGAGGGACGGAGGGCCACATCTCTGGGATGCGTGCGGCTTCGGCTGCCCTGGGCGCCGTTCATGTCGCTGGCGGCGACCAAGGAACCGTCCGGCGAGATCGCGGACGCACTGAGATGGAGGGCCTCTTGCGGACCCTTCAACGGAGGGCACCAACTATACACTTTTACCGATCCTGGCCAGGCCGATCCTAGGCCCAGGATCGGTGTATATGCATGCCGCCCAAGGCAGGAGGGCGTACACACCAATCCTGGACCCAGGGTGGTCCTGGCCAAGATCGGTGTTGGTGTATGGTTGGCGCAATCCGACCTTCAAGGACATGCTCACCAGCAGCTGGGCGTCCGGAGCCATTGACTCGGAGGCCACCATGAGGACCCCCTCCCTGCCGTCGCTGCCAGACGGGGGGGCCTGGGCCTCTGGGCGCGCCTTGGCCAGCTCCGGCTTGCCCAGGTACCACACCTGTTGGCCGAGCTTAGATTCGCTGGGTGAAGAAGCGTCTGAGACAGTTGGCTGTCCCCTTCCTCCTTTCCCCCTCCTTTGGGATCCAACATGCCATTCTATGAGGGGGTACGAGCTCGTGAACGCACCCCTGCCTCCAGAGTCCCCACGAAGCCCCAAGACAGGTCAACAGGGCCCAGACAGAGCGCCAAGATAGTCGAAGCGACCGTCATGACGGCCCAGGGTAGCCCCACGACGATCCAAGATGGCGTCAAGACGGCCCACGGGGCCCCCAAGACACACCAAAAGCGCCTCCAGAGCATGGCCAAAGGGGGCCCCAAGAGGCCAAATTCCATGGAAACGTATTCATGTTCAGCGCAGTCGCATTTATGTTTTAACAACGAACAACGGCCCAGGTGGCCCCCAAGATCGTCCCAAGGCGACCTACGATGTCTCCAAAAAGGCCCAAAGAGCGGAATGGCGCAAGCCACTTGAATGGCCCTCCTCCTCCCGCCGATATCATTATCCTTTTCCTCGACGACGCCTGCTGTCGCTCTTGGGGGGATCTCGCCAGCCACCTGAGCGTGAATGGTCTAGCGAATTTCCTCTTCCGTTGTCACTCCCATGTCGGGGAAGGGCTTACCCGTCTCCATACCTGACTACCTACCAGACCACCCCGACCCAACCCGAAGACCCGAATTTCGGGTTGGGGGGGGTACGGGTTCCATGTGTGTCTTTTCAATGTTCCCCGACCCCCCCCCCCCCACTGGAAATGGAGGGAAACTTGAAGCCTCCGGGTTGGGTTGGGGTCGTTTGGTGGGTGTTGAATACCCTCTCCATGACCTGGACAGGAGGCTTCACGACCGCTCGGAACGTCCTAGAAGGCATCGGCTAGAAGGCAATCATCATCGGTTTCACTTCGGTGCTGGGCCAATGTTGGCCTCATGGGGCTAATTCGGGGGTCCCCAAACGGGGTGGTGACCACACCGTGCGGTGAGTCGGTCGGGATTTGGGGTCACCGCACGGTTTTGGGACTCGGGTCGTTTTCCGAAAACGTCTCGGGCGACTGGGGCATCCGAAATCCCAAAACCGTGCGGTGACGGACCGTGCGGTGAGGTCTCTTGGGGTTCCGAGGTCACCGCACGGTCTGTCACCGCACCGCTTCGGGACTCCAAACTCATCTAGCACCTCTTTCTTTGATCGATCTCCTCCAAAAAAAGCCATACTAGACCGAGCCGTCGCCCAACACCCCTCTCAGTAGCCGTAGTACGAAGGTTGACGACGACAGCTGGATTTTGGCTCAAGGACGCGAAGCGGCCGAGAGCGGACATTGAACAATTGATTCGATTACGGCGAGCGCCCGCTCGCCAGTGGAGAACACTCACACAAACTATTGCCATTGATATTATTGCCGTTAATCTTGTTAGCGTTGCGGCATTCTGCGATATAACCTGGGTGATCGACCCTGTACCTGGGCGAAGCCACCAAGGCTCGCCCTGGCAGGGATGGTTTCGGACTTAGAGACTGGACTAATGCATTTGTTCGAACAACCGCTCGGTCTGATTCATCTGAGGTTGCTCCGGGAAGTTCCCGAAATCGGCCGACGCAATCCTCGGCGTCTCACGTGATCGACGAACCTTTGATCACTGACGTCAACGGGTAAAGACGGGCACCCGGCAGCAGAAGCAATGGGAAACAAACGACGCAGCCGCCAGGCGCTCCAGAAAGACGAGCCAACCATTTAGATGATGACGTGTCGGAGCGCGCGCGGACGCGCACGGGCCAGTTTCAGCGCACGGGCCAAAGAGGGCTGCAGTCCAACTCTCTCGACTCCATACTACACTGCAGAAGCTACCTACCTACCCACCCACATGCCAACTGCTGCACTGCGTTGCTACATGGGGTCGAGAGCTCCAGCATATATAATCAGCAAATGCCCTGAACATGCCGGATGCCTCAACACCCCTCCACCATGTAGGCGCCTGTAGCCTCACATGGCCGACGCTCGTGCTTGTGACGGCTCTCTCTCTCTCTCTCTCTCTCTCTCTCTCTCTCTCTCTCTCTCTCTCTCTCTCTCTCTCTCTCACTAGACCGCAACCTAGCGCCGGTGACTCTCCGGAGCCACGCCCGGAGAAGAGTGGCGCAAGTTACTGCGCAATTAAAAGGTGGTCGGGTCAGCTGCCCGAGCAGCCCCTGCATCAAACGATGCTCAAAGGTCGCCCCTCTCTGTCGCCACCACACGGAAGTTGATCAGACTCCGACCATGCAGAGACACGCCCAACCCGATCAGTCCAGAAGCGGGCACCTAGGTAGACTAGGGTTTGCTGGCATTGCTGCTTTGTTGGGCGCCTTGTTGCTGCTGCTTTGTTGGGTGCCTTCCCGGCGCGGCTCCTGAGCCACTGCCGGTGGCCCTCCCTTTCGGTGCCCCTCCCCGGCCCCCTTTCGGCGCGCACGTGGCTGACGCGACTTCAACCACGCTGATCGCGTTCCCGCCCAAGCCGCGGGTGGCTCACAGGGCCACCCCGCGCTCCGGCCGGGCCCCTGGGCGGGCCTCCGGGCCACGCCAGGCTGCCGCAGCCCACCTCCGTAGACTTTCGCGGCCTTGGGTCAGCACTGCTAGGAATGCCGGCACCCTTCCAGTGCTCAAGCCCTCTCTCAAAGGGTCTCGCCTTCGTAGCGGCATCATCTCGAGTAGCTGGCCCAGCCGCGCTTTCGGATGCGCCTTCGCACCGAGGTCTGCCCAGTTGACAGAGCCGTCAACCTCGAGCAGCTCCCCGCGCTTCTCTCGGAGGAACTCCTGCACCCACAGGTCCTTCACAGATAAATAGCGCACCTTGCCACTGCCCTGCCTGTCACAGATGCCCCGGGCCGTCGAAGAGTCGCTCAAAACCACCAACTTGCACGGCAAACGCGTCATCGCCTCGATGATCTGCGTCGTCTGGACACCCATAGCCGCGCCTTTGACGACGGCATAAGACTCTGCCTCCCCAGAGCTCAGCGCGAGCAATGACTGTTTAGACACGATCATATCTATCATGTGCTCTCCAAAGCGCTCGACGACACAGGACACGCTTGTCCTGGTCTCCCTGTCGGCCGCCCAATCAGAATCGCAGTACTCAGACAGATGCGTCGGCATCTCCTGGCAAACGAAGATCCAAATCTCGCCGGGATGGTCTGGGGGGTAACGAGCACACCTGTTCAAGCGCAGCGCGTGCATCTTGGTAGATGTCGCCATCCCTCCATCACCGTGCTCGCGGTGAACTTGACAATCGGGACATCCTCTGCTAGGCACTGCAAGGCACCGGCCGCTGCCCTGAAGATCGGCGCCGGCCCCGTCGCCAGAGGATCTGCAATGTCTCGATCACCTTTCCCGGCGTACTTCGACGAGGGTGCTGTCATGCCCCGGGGCGATCCAAGCTTCAGACCTTGCAACTCCATCAGGCTGGCGATGTGCTCCAAGATGCCCTCCCACGCGAATCCTCCTCGGGGTCCACCGGATCGTTCTCTTGAAGTGTTTCAGCTCCGCGGCCTGCCCCCCGTGCTCCGGCGGCCCGATGCGAGGGGACATATTGACGTCGAAGTGGCGCTGCATGATATTGTCAAGCTCGTCTCCGTGACACCCGAGACTGATGTCCAGCGCATGGTGCACGAACACCATCGGCACGACCATGATCATGACGAAACCCTCCCCAATGAGAGCTTTGATCACGTAGCTGCCGAACTGCATGCTCGCCTCCCGGGCGCCGTGCATGGCCTTGCGCAACAACCACGCGAAACCTTCCTTCCGCACGTCAGCTGGCGGGATGACCGCTGTCTTGCCCGTCGACACCGCGCGAAAGAATGCCACCGACACGTCGCAACCTGCCACGAGCCTCGCCCAAGTGAGGTCAGGGCGCTGCTTGAACGCAGCGAGGCTTACGATGATCCTATAAATCTTTACTGGTGGCGTGGATTGCGTTGCATCCTCGCTGGCGTACGCGTTCAACTTTGTTGCAACCAGGCGCGCTCGCACTGCCCCTGGGTCCGCTTCCGAAGGCTTCGGCTCAAGCACCCACTTGCCGTTGACTAGCTTGAGCCTTATCTGCCGGGCATCTGACCAGGAGATATCATGCTGAACTTCGCAAGCGTCGATATGCCTCCTCTCCATGATCTTCTCTTCGCACACCTTTTGCGGGTCGAGCTTGACACCGGCCTTCGTGGAAAAGTACTCCTTGCTCCAGTCCATGTTGATTGGAACCACTTCTGGGCCCTCCCCCATCCATGGCTGAACGGAGGTAGCTAACTGCTCTTCCCACAGCTGCCGCCGCCAAGCTGGGCTCGCGCAGCGCTGGCAGTCCAGCGATCGTTCTTGACCGCTTGTCCTGGGGGCCGTCGCCTGCTTCGAGGCCTCCACGGGAGGTCGCGGCAGCTCCTGCTGCTGCATGTGCACGTCTGGCACGTCTTCAGACGCAGGCGCGGCACGGCGTGGCTCCTGAACCACTTCCCCTGCGCCTCCGGGCCTTCCGGGCTCCTGTGGCGCTGGCAGCGGTGCGGGCGGTGCTGGTGTAGGGGCCGCTGCTGGCGGAGCGCGTGCAACAGCTCTCCGACGCTGCCCCCAGGCCTTCTCCCGGGCCTTCTCCCACGCCTCTTTCTCCACAGCGATAATCGCGCGAAGCGTTCCCGACAGGCAGGCGCGCGCCTCGCCTCACCTGGCGCCTGACATCCGGGGCAGTCAGGCGCTTTGCCTAGCCGAATGATGCGATCCAAAGAGATGCACACGTCTCGCGGCCTCGAAGGCCCCTCCGGCAGTTCCCGGGCTGCCGGCGGCACTGGCTCCCAGGGCGACCCAACGAAGGCGTCTAACAGCTGCTTCTTCCAGCGCCGCTGCAACGGCCTCCGCCAGATGCTCCTGCATGTGAGCACACCATTGGACGCACCAACAAGGCGTTCGTCTACCCCCATGCTCTTGCCCAGCCAGACGCCGAGATGCCACCTGTCGTCGGCTTTTCCGACCGTGGATAGCGGCGAATTGCGGCGCACGCACTCGCCAAACTCCACGATCTCGCCGTTGTAGTCCTTCCCGAACAAGCGGCTGCACGGATTGTTACCGTCTGCCTTCACCAGGAAACGGACTAGCAGCCACCCAGCGCGCCGAACGAGCCACGGCTGGATTTTGTATTTGAGAGGAAACTGTTGTCTGCACACTGACTCTAGCCTGTGCTTCAGAGCCCTGTACTCTTTCTCCACCTCGTAGCTGCTGCGTTCGCTTACGCCGGCACTCGCTTGGACGCACTATGCTTGCTGCTCCTGGTCTCGGTGAACACGTCAACAAGACGATTGATGGGTTTTTCGCCATCTGGCAGCAGAAGCACGTTTGCGCGCCCGCAGAAGCGGACAGCTTCGCTCATCAGTGCAAGAGCGTAGTCGCCCTCACCCTTCCGATTCACCATGCCTGGGAACGGCCCTCCGGACTTCGCGTCCAAGACGTTCAGCACTGCGTGCATCTCCTGCTCGTCTCTTTTGGACGTGAGAAAAAGATAATCGACGCAGATCTTGGGAACTGCCCCCTCAGCTTCGGGCCCCCGCTGCGCGCGAAGGCCCTCCGTGGCCTTCCCTGACGCGCAGTGGTCACACCACGACCTGAATGGCAGGTGTGTGAGCTGATGGGAATCCCACTCAGCCTGCGTGACTGTAGGTGGGATTTTCTTGGCCCTAAGCCCCCTCGCTTCCTCTGAATATGCCAGCAGAGTTGGCGGCCGGCTGTCTGGTCGCCCAGGCGCGGGCGCTGGCCCGCTGGCCCGCGGGGCGCTGGCAGGGGCGGATTCCGATTCGCGCTCCGGCTCGAGCCCCCTCCCTGCGCTGTGGGGCATCCGTCTGATGCCTGCGGCTCCTGAGCCGCAGGCTGGCGGGATCCCCACTGGTGGCGTGAACACCTTCTTTGCGGGTTTGGCAGGGCACAGAGGTCGCGCATCTCCTGCCGGCTGCTCGTCCCAGAGCTCCAGCCAGTACACGCCCCTGTCTCCGACCATTTCCAAGCCAGGCGTCGCCTGCGCTACCTGCCGCAGGCCCCGCGCATCTCGCGCAGAGATGACCTTCTGGACCCTGGGGCCGAAAACCAGCCAGTTCCCTGCGCCACAGGCGTCCGACGCAGACACTACAGGCACTGCCACCTGCTCACTCGAGCTGTACCTCAAGGTGACCCCGGTGCCCTCAGCGGCCTGGAGGCGGGACCGTTTGCCGTCTCGCAGGCGCGCCTCCTCTCCTGCGGCTGTCGCCAGCGCCACAGGCTTGACAGACGTATCTGCCGAGGCGGCTGCGTCGAAAGATGCGGGGCACACAGATGCTCCTGTTCCAGCGTCCACCATCACCCTTTTCGGCCCCTGGAGCGCCGCCAGGTAGGTGGTCTGTCTCCACCGCGGGAAGCATTGGCAACAGGAAACCACGACTGGCTTCGTCACTGCCCTGCAGCAAGGCGGCGCGCGGAGCCGCGCTGTCGTTGCCTACTGGTCGCTCCAGGGCTGCCGCCAACTTCTTCTCGGCGTATGTGGCATTATTCCTGCAGTCTGCGGCCATGTGTCCTACCTTCTCACAATACCAACAGACCTTCGCACTTGCTCCTGCCTTCGCCTTCCCCATGGGCTCCGACGCCTTGCATTTGCATCTTCCTTCCTCCTTTCCATTGCCCTTTTCCGTTATCCCTTCTTGCCTTTTCCTGCTCCCTTCCCTCCTTTTGGTGTTGCGCCGTGTTCCATCGGCTTTGGCTGGGAGTTCAATCACTGCTCTGTCCTAGCCATGTCCAGGAGCTCCTCCCCCAGAGCCTTCCACGTCTCCAGCCTAGCGGAGTTCTTCACCAAGTGCTGCTGGATGCTCGCGTCTACCACATTGACAATCACTATGCCAATCTTGAGGGCCTCGTCAAACTGCTTCCCCGCCTGTCCTTCGCACCCGCGATCCAGATGCTCGAACTGGTCGAGAGATTGCGGGATATCCCCAGAGATCTTTGCAGTGGAGATTTCAATGAGGAGCCCGACCTTTCGCGTCCAGATCTTTGGGTCCCAATCGAGAACGGCTTGCCGCCACGCTTCCAAACCCTCCCCGGCACCGACGGTGGACATCTTACCCTGTGCATCATCACGGAAGAGCATCACCATGACGTAGTACAGTTGCGCCGACAGACGAGCCCCCCATGGTTCCAGGGATGCGTTTGCCACGACGCTCGCAGTAGCCTCCGCCCGCGCCAGAAGCGCTGGGTAGCGTGAGTCTAGCACTGCTAAGTACGCCCTGAAGACGAACGACCACCCTGGCCACATCGCCCTCTGTGCTAGATAGGTCTGTTTTATCTATCAAACGCGTGTCGACGCATGGCTGAGGCACTGATCCAGCCCCTTGCGGCGCCGGCGGCGTAGCAGAAGCTGCAGAAGCAGAAGCAGGCATGGTACGCAACTCTTCGATTGCTGCCACCACCTCCGTGATCTGCCCCGCCTGAGCCCTGACTTGGTTCTGTAGCTCTTCAACTGTCGACATGACTGATGCCTAGAACGCGAACGGTCGCGGGCGGCTTCCCGAGCCGCTCTGCGCTCCTTCTGAATCTCGCCCAGAAACTCGAAGAGTTCTCCCGCGTCAGCGTGGCGACGCTCCCACTGGGAGATAGAAGCTCGCCTGTTCTCCAAGGTGCGGCTGACGTCCCCGAGCAGGCTGTCTGCCTCTGCACCGTCAGGGAGCTCGCCCCGCCTCTCCTGGATCGACACGAGCTGCTCTACCTCGTCTCGCGCAAGCCGAACAAGCGTCGAGACGTCAGCCAGCTCCACGAGACAGAACTGGCGCACTATTTCCTGGCACTGCTCGCGGCTGGTCTCCAGCAGCTCGCCCGAGAAATGGCCCGGCTCGCCCTCCCGGCCCGAGCACGGGCGGCTTTCCACCGCGGCACGCCGCAGCGGCTCAGACCTGGCGGTGGCGATTCGGCGCCTGTCCTCCTGGAGTGGCGTGTCCTCAACGCTGAAACCCAGATCAGCGAGAGAGCGTGATCCACCGCCGCTTTACTCTGGAAAATTGCCAGCCTTTTCCTCCGGAACCCGGGGGTCGCCCCCCCCCCCCCCTCAGAAAATCCCCCCCCCCCCTCAGAAATCCCCCCCCCCCCCTCCCCCCCGCACCGCCAGCAAACGACTCCCGGTCCCTACCACCGTCCGCATCACATCCCCCACTGTTGTTCCCAGCACCACTGTCCTCACCACCACTGTCCCCGCTGGTTCCACCACCGTCCCTACTGTCCCCACCAGTGCCCCCACCACTGTCGCACTGTCCCCACTGTCCCCACCACTGTTCCCACCACGGTTCCACTCTCCCCACTGTCTCCACGGACCCAACCACTGCCCGACTATCCCCACTGTCCCCACTGTCCCACTGACTCCTCCGCTGTCCCACTGAGCTGTCCCACTGTTCCCACCACTGTCCCCACTGCCCCCACCACTGTCCCCACTGTACCTCTGTCCCATTGTCCCACCGCCGTCCTCGCTACCGCCTTCGCCACTGTCCCCACCACCATTGTACCCTCCACTATCCCACTGTTTCCACCTCATTCCCACTGTCCCCACACCACTGTCCCCACCACCACCGTCTCCACCACTGTCCACTGCCCCCCCCGTTCCCACCATTGTCCCCACCACTGTCCCCACCACTACCGTCCCCACCACTGTCCCACTGCCCCACTGTCCCCACCACTGTCCCGCTGTCCCCTCGCCACTGCCCCCACCAACACCGCCCCCACCACTGTCCGCACCCCCACTCGGTTTTCGATAGGGGGGGGGAATCGAACCGGTAGCGACCCCCCCCCCTTTTCATGATGAGCTGGGGGGGGGGGGTTCGAACCGGCAGCGACCCCCCCCCGGTTTTCCGGAGGGGGGGGGGGAGGGGTTCGAACTGGTAGCGACCCCCCCGGTTTTCCGCCAGCAGCGGTAGAGCACGCTCTTTCAGATCAGCGTAGCGCCTCGCCTCCAGGTTGCTCGCCAAAGCCTCTGAAGGGTCCGGGTCGCGCCTCAGGACCAGCTTCGTGGCCCGGCGTCGGTGGCGAAGCTCCTGGGCCTCCACACTCCGACGCTCCCCACGGCGACGCTGAGACGGCCCCTGAGCCGCACTCGCGTTCCGGCCCGTATCGCGGGCAGACGGGAGGCCCTCACCACCGGGCTGGGCGCGGCGCTGCGGCCGCGGCCGGTGGCGCCAGGGGGCGCCGGCCAGGTGCGGAGGGGCGCCCCCCGACCTGGAAGAGGATGCGGCTGCCGAGCCGCTTGGCGAAGGTCCTCTGGAGCTGCGGTGGGCCTTGGGAGGCATACCACAACTCCGCTACCATGTCGGAGCGCGCGCAGACGCGCACGGGCCCTTCTCAGCGCACGGGCCAAAGAGGGTTGCAGTCCAACACCTTCCACTCTATGCTACACTGCTGATGCGACCGACCTACCCACCCACATGCGAACTGCTGCACTGCATTGCTACATGGGGTCGAGAGCTCCAGTATATGCAATCAGCAAATGCCCTGAACATGCAGGATGCCTCAACATGACGACACGAGAGGAATGATTGAGGAGTTTGAAGATCTGACGTTATTCGGAGCGTCGGTTCGCGAAGGATTCATACCGGAGGAGCGCCGAAAACCAAAGAGGCGCACACAACCAAAGGGGCACCGAAAACCGAAGATGCGCCGAAAACCACGAGGGCGCAGAAAAACCATAGACGCGCCGACAATCACAAGGGCGTCGAAAACCGAAGGGCGCCCAAAAAACAAAGGGCGCGCCGAAAGCCGAAGGCCACCCAAGACTGGAGGGGCGCCGAAAACCAGAGAGCACCGAAAAAAACCAAAAGGGCGCCGAAGACCAAAGGGGCGCCGAAAAGCACTGACTACCTACCAGACCACCCCAACCCAACTTGAAGACCCGAATTTCGGGTTGGGGGGGGCAAGGGTTCCACACGAGTTGTTTCGATGTTTCCCGACCCCCCCTCCCCCCCCCCCCCCACACTGGAAATCGAGGGTAAATCTGAGCCTTCGGGCTGGGTTGGGGCGGTTTGGTGGGCGGTGAAGCACAGGGGCGCCGAAGACCAAGAAGGCGCCGAGAACCAAAGGAACGCAGGGGCCCAGAAGGGCGTCGTAGACCAACGACGCGCCGAAAACTAGAACGGGTGCGCAGGTAACAAAAATGAAAGGGGCCTGGGACGCACAAACAAGTGGCACGTGTGCCATGGCTCTTGCACAAAAAGGAAGAGGGAGGAGGAGGAGGTGGAGGAGGAGGGGGGAAGAGGGGGCCAGACATCGCAGAAGGAGTGAACAAACAGGGCCGCAAGAGGAGGTTCAGAGGGTGAGCTCGAAGAGACGTCAAGGGGCGCCCCCCGCAAGATGGACCCAAAGGTCTTCAACAGGTTCCCAGGAAGCCCCCAACAGACACCCGAGAAGCCTACAGAGGGTTCCAAGAGGAGGCCTCCAGGGTCCAAGGAGGGCCGGAAGAAATTACTCTGGTCTGGGTCCCACTGGGGGGGGGGGGGGCGCGCGCGTCGCGAAAAATAAAATCGTCGGGGCGGAGGGGGCACTGGGCGCGGCTGGGGAGGCCCCGCTGGGGGGGCGCTGGGGGCCACTGGGGGGCGCTGGGGAGGTCCCACTGGGGAGGGGGGGGAGGGGGGGCGTCGCGAAAAATATAATCGTCGGGGCGGAGGGGGCACTGGGCGCGGCTGGGGAAGCCCCACTGGGGTGCGCTGGGGACCACTGGGTGGCGCTGGGGAGGTCCCACGGGGGGACGGGGGGGGAAGGGTGCG